GGAAGAGAGGACTTGGAGTTCTAGAGGAGAGGGAGAGGGCACATGTTATAGGCAATGAAGAGGGTCCTGTGGAACTTGGAAACCAGAAGCTGTAGAATGGGGACAAAGGAGAGGCTAGTCAGTTTTGTGGGCAAAGGGAGATGAAAGGGCTGCTGAAGGGAGGGGGACAGTGTCTGGTCTAGAGAAAAAGATGGGAGTGTTTCAAAGAGGGAGCCAAACTGATGAGTTTGAAGGAGTCGGTTAGGGGTGGACAGTATCTTACAAGGTTGAGTAATAGGTTTTGGTCTGCAGTCACTGCGTTTTCTTTGAGCACGGACAGTGGTAGTACTTTTATATGAACGTTTTAGCTTTCGCACTCGCCACCCCCATTCTGTCTCCTGTTGTAAGGCCGCAGGCCCGTAGTGTTGTCTTGGAAGTAAGACTTGACAAAAGAGGAAAGGGAAAGACTAATTAGCCAATGCATTAATTAGGGCCCCTTGTCCTAGATGATTCCTTCTTTAACTCAGCTGTTTTCTTGCTGCCCTCCTGCACCTCAGCTTTGCAGTTGTGGTGGCTGTTGGCACGGTACTTGGGGAAGAACTGCCCCGATTCAGACAAGATGGGTTAGATTTTTCTAAACTAACACATATTTGACAGATATATATAAAAGCATGAAAATTTACTTATCAGAGACTTATAATCAGGGAAATGCAAATGGAAACAACAATGAGATGCCATTTCACAGCCATCAGATTGGCAAAAATTCAATGCTGTGATAACCAAGTGTTAGTAAGGTTGTGGGGATGTCAACTTTTATATACTGCTAGGGGGAATGTGACTGGATCCAGCCACACTGGAGAGCAGTGTAGTGATGTCTAGTTGAAGGAGGGCAGACATACCTGTTTACCCAAAATGTCCATTTCTGGCATGTACTCTAAGAAATCCTTGCACACTTGTCCAAGAAAATAAGTACAAAAGAAGTACAAGAATGCCCATTGCAGCTTAAATGTCCACCAGCAGTGGAATAGACAAATCGTTAGATAGTCCCACACAATTGATGGTATAGCATTGTGACAAATAAACTATAGCCACGTGCATTAAAGTGGTTGCATCTCACGAATATAATATGGGGTGGGAGAGCAAGGAACAGAAGAATTCTTACAGAATGTTTCCACTTGCATAAAATCTGAAAGCAGGCAACATTATGTTGTTTGTGGCTGTGTGCAGACGTAGTAATAGTAGAACAACGTGCATGGTAACGGCTAACACCAAATTCAGAGTAGTGATTACCTCTGGAAAGAGAAGATGAATGGGATTGGACAGGGGTACACAGAGGGCTTTAGTTGTACCTGTAATATTCTGTTACTGAAAACATCTGAATCAGATCATTGCAGATGAAGATTTCCTTATCTTGGGTGTATGGTACAGAGATATTCATTACATTATTTTAAATATTTTTTCAGATGTTTGAAGTACTTCTCACATGCAAAAAATTTTTTTGTTCATACAGGGTTTTTGCTCTGTAATAATGAAGCTCTAGCTACAGGCCCCCGCCCAGCACAGCCTGTTAGGCTGCAGGCTCGTGATCCTTTTCTCACCCCTTTCTGACCCGCACAGCCTAGTGTTGGCGGTGGCCAACTTTTATTTTGGAATTGCTGATAGGCATGGAGCATTTCCCAGTCTCTCTAAACATGCTAGTGACCTAGGTCTGCAGTTTGAGCTTTGTCAAAATATAAGTGCTCCAGGACATGCTGACTTATCAGATGTAGGGAGGGACCCAGAAATCTGGTTCTGAAAGGTTCCCCAGTAGATTCTGGTGTCCACTAAAGTTCAAGAACCACTGCCTTAGACTTCTGACTCTGGGCTGTACTGCATTTCAGCTTTGCTGCCTTCTGTTGCCCGTCCTGCATGACTGGGACTAATGTGGACCCATGTGATACTTAGCTCTTTTGCAGGGCACAAAAGAATGGTAGGGTTGGAAGCCACTGAATGTTAAGCCCTTCGTAATCCAGGCTAGCTATTCCTCTTATTTTCATGCAGGTAGCTAAGGGGCCCACCTCCCGCGAGGGCTGTTTATCCGGTTTTACAAATTTAACCACGTTTGTCACTATATGTGGTTTCATATAACTATAGGATAGGAGCGAAAAGGGTCTAACAAAGAAGGAAAACCATCAAATTTGGAGAAAGTAAACCCCCAAAGGTAAATGTATGTGATCATGCCTTCTTCTGCAGATGATAGTGATTGTTTTAGTGTTTAGCTTATGACATGCATGGGAAGTTCAGCTGTTTGAACCTGTAGTCTAAGATTATGGTCTTTAGGAAACAACTGATTATTCCTCAAGATGTAAGAGTTTCCTTTTTCCCAAATTTGCTGGTTTTCTTTCTCCACTCCACCCTTTTTGCTCTGGTCCTATTATGTTTAGGGATGAATTTCTATTAACAAATATGAGGATTTCTGGTAATGAAATTTGTGAAATGCCTGTTTGTCTTTGGCGAGGTGGTTCTTTCTGGAAATCTACTTTGGAGGTACAGTGTTGCCCCAGGTACATCTTTGCAGGGCTGCTGTGTAGGGTTGTGTAGATTGGGTGTAGCACAAGGACACCTATTTTGGGTGGCAAGTGGGAGTGGAAATCCATTCTGTGCTCCACTTACCAGGATGAGCAGAAACAGTTGTCTTGGCCCGTCTTTGGCCGAGCCCCTCCTTTTGCTCCTGGTGAGCACCGTGATCACCTTATCCAACCCCCTCTCAAGGCTCCCAAACACTGTTTCCTTTTCTTTTTAGAGTTTCCTCTACATGTGCTTGGTTGAGATCCATTTCCACTGTGCGACACCTTAAAAAACAGAAACACCCACGAGTAGAGCTGGGCCTCCTGCCTGCTGGGGCCCCCACAGGCTGTGCATTAGCTGAGCCTCACTCAGGTATGCCAGGGCCAGACGACCTCACTCCTCCTGAGGAGCACGAAGGCCATCTCCCACTAGAAAGTAGCTATCACCCTTCCCCCCACCAACTGCCACTTGGCAAAACTACTTTTCCCCTCCTTTTTTAAAAAATGTCAAATATACAGGAAAGTTGAACAAACAGTGCAATGAAAATCCAAATATCCTCTTAGATTCAACAGTTGTTACTATTTTGCCACACTTGCTTTCTCCACATATATAGACAGATAATAAATACAGTAAATACATAGATATCTTTGCTGAGCCATCTGAAAGTAACCCCTTGAAGATATATCATGATACTTCACTCTGAAACTCTTCAGCATACATCACCAATGAATAAGGGCATTTTCCTACAGAACCACAATACCATTAAGACATCAAGAAAATTAACAATAATGCCATAGTATCATCTCATAGTTCCCATTCTAATTCCCAAACTGTCCTCACAATGGATCCTGCTTAAAAAAATAGCTATAGAAGACAATGAAGGGTCATCTATGCAGCAGAACTGTTTATGCAAGACGAATGGGTTTTCTTGGAAACACCCTTTAGTATCTTTACTATCTGAGCGATGCTGTTAGTGGGTGTCTATACTCTACTGGCAGAAGTGCAGCGTAATATGGGCCCTAGAGAGGGAACCATGTGGCTGGGGCCAGGGCCACTGTTGCCAGCCTGCTGTATTTAAGATAAGGTGCCAGTCCTACTGCTGATGAGTTTCACAATTCTACCCCATAAGGAAGGCAGTGGCATCAGCTCCCGTAATGGCCACTGTCGACGCAAAATAACCAATGACCATTCTATAGATAAGAGAAATAAGGTGAGTTTACTTGAGCCAGAGTGAGGATTATAACCCAGGAAGGCCTTAGAAAGTGTTCCGGAGAAGCATGGTTTTCAGTACAGTCTTGTATCTTTTTAGAACAAAGAACATACATTAAACACACCCAGGATACATTTTTATCAAAATTTCAAAGAGGTATTCAATTGCAAACTTGCAGGTCAATGTGACGGTGATGTCAGGAAAGGGACTGATCCTGGTGTTCCCAATAGGGCGTTACCAATAGGGCATAGGAGGGGAAGTATGCATTCTTATCTTAAGAGAGTGTATTCTTTAATGGTTAAGCAGATGTACAATGCACGTTTGATAGGCCATAAGTCAGGCTTTTTAGTTCAAGCCGAATCAGTTTTGAATCCAAATAGTTACCGCATATACCTCAATATGTGAAAATCTCTTGTCACCACAAACCATCCTCATACAGTCAGACAGACATTCCTACAGTCTCCAACAGAATCTACATGATGGTTTATCTTAGTCAGGTTTATCAGATATGAAAGAAGGAAATGTGGTTACATACGCTAAAGATGAAAGAGTCTGAAAAACAGAACACTTACCGCCTCTCAGGGCTAATGACACCTGTCATTAACCTCTCTGTTCCTGCTGAATTTACTGGAATTTTAATTGGAGTTTCCTTCAGGCACTGGTTTCTAGCTATTAGAAAAAAAGAAAACATTTGGTTTAAATGTAGCTGACACTATGGTTTCAAAATTTCTATTGTGGGAGATCAAAATTGGCCACCCCAAAATATGTCTCTTTACCTTATTTTCTCTGAAGAACATTTGCACTTCCCCTCCCAAACTGCCTAAAGAATTTAACATAGAAGGCCTGTTACAGGAAGGAGCCACTACCATATGATGGCTGTAATATGTAAAATAGATGCTGTGATAGGAAAGGCACCAACAAGTCAATCTTATCAAAAATTCTGTCTCTCCCAGGACACATTCTCTAGGTGGTCCTGTAAAGAGTTATCAGACAAACATTTGCATTTTCATCTCCATGTGAATTGTCGTCTTCCCCTCTGAGATCCCCCACAGCTACCCCCCCATCCCCAACATCCTCCTTTGTCTTTATCTATTTAAGGTGAAAACCTCTGCCATTTGTTGAGAAACTCAGTTTCCGTGGTTTCTCCCATGTATACGTTATTAAACTTTGTTTGATTTTCTCCTGCTATTCAGTCTCATGTCAATTTAATTTGTAGCCCAGCTAGGAAGGACCCTGAGTGGGTAGAGGATACTCTTCCTCCCCCAACACTATCAATAATGCAGACATCACCTTGTTCATTGACTCAGAAATATTGTAATCACCTGGCCAGTGATGTTAAGGCTCTTTCTTTAAAGAAATGCTTCTGGGCCAGCCTGGTGGCGCAAGCAGTTAAGTGCACATGCTCCACTTTGGTGGCCTGGGGTTCATGGATTTGGATCCCAGGCGCGCACCAATGCATTGCTTGTCTAGCCACGCTGTGGCGGCATCCCATATAAAGTAGAGGAAGATGGGCATGGATGTTAGCTCAGGGCCAATCTTCCTCGGCAAAAAAAAGAAGAGGATTGGCATCGGATGTTAGCTCAGGACTGATCTTCCTCACACACACAAAAAAACAAATGCTTCCGTGTGATTTATAATAAAAACAGAATCATTTTTCTTTGCACGTGTTGCTCCTCTTTTTCTTCACTGCAAAACTGAAGCTGTGCTTATGATTTTATTATAAATATATGAAAAATCTAAATAGATCATATAAATACAGATTTCATGATTACTGATTGTCTTTTCTGTAAATAAAACTCAATCTGTATTTATACAAGGACCCAATTTATGCCTTTAATTCATACAGTATTGAGAGGTGTTAATTCAGTTCATAGCCTGATTCAGCTCCTGTTAGGCTAAGAGAACAATCCCCTGTGAAAGCCTGACAACAGTTTCTAAAGAGGCTTGAGCTTTGGCTATTGTTCTATTCCCTACTCCAGAGTTGTGTGGCTTATTCTAGCGAGGTGTTTGTATCCCAGACGGTTTGTGAAAAACCTGCAACAACGAATCTGGTTACCACTGATTACTTAACTTTTTGCTTATGATCTAAAAGTTGTAATAATATTCACTTTATAATAAATACATGATATCAAGTTTTTAAAAAGATGGAAGGTTTTGTTTATGACTACTCAGCACTATTCTCACTGGTTCCACAAGAACTAGAAAATAAGATCAATTCATAATATCTGTGTGGGGCTGGCCCAGTGGCGTACCAGTTAAGTTTGCGCGCTCCACTTCAGCCCAGGGTTCGCGGGTTTGGATCCCGGGTGCACACCGACGCACTGCTTGTCAAGCCATGCTGTGGCGGCGTCCCATATAAAGTAGAGGAAGATGGGCACGGGTGTTAGCCCAGGGCCAGTCTTCCTCAGCAAAAATGTTAGTTCAGGGCTAATCTTCCTCACACACAAAAAACAATAATAATAATAACATCTGTGAAAACAGCTTTCATCTTTATATACTAACAGTATCTACTACCACAATTACCCTTCAGCAAATTGTCACTGACTGGATTGTACAGGATTCAGAAAGGAGAAATTAATGCTTATATCAAAATGACTCAGTAAAAGTAAAATGCAGAGAGAGCACTAATGGGAGCTCTCAACTGGGGCTTTAGCCACTTGCGTCTCTTATGTTTAAAGAAAAACGGCCAGTCATAGCTTTTGACCAACACAGTCTTTCTCACAGGAACAAGATATGTAAACTGATGACACCTTAAGATTATAAATTCTAAAACTATCCAGATTTCAAAACCTTCAGAATTAGATAAAAAGTAAAATTTATCAATAATAAAAGGGACTGAAAGCATCAAAGGCTTAAAAACAACAGCCCTCAATGAGCTAAGGTCCATCTTATCTCCCTGCCCAACCTCCTGATTCACAGGACGTTGTGGCGATATTAAGAGAAATAACAGGAGACAAAGAGACACCCCCCTTGTTAGGAAGAGATGCAATAGCAGCCACCACTGAGGTCCTACTGCATGCAGATGTTACCTGACTGAACCCTCATAACCACCACAGGCAGCCACACACAAACACATGTCACACCAAAGTAGTCTCACAACTTAGGGGAAAGTGTTGTTTGAGCTGATGAACTGGACAACGCCATTAACATAACAATAGAACTTCCAGCAAAAATTCTGAAAAGGTTTTTCAGAATATCTTTATGTATAAGAAGCAGACCTCTGGATCCAATGCCTATCAGCCCCATTAGCAAACTGGGAGCGCGATGGCAGGATGTGGATTAGCAGCAGTTCACACAGCAATGTTTCAGGGCTTGGGTTCATTAGGGTCTTAACATAAAACAAGAGTAGGTCACAAATGGTGGAAAAAAGGCTTTTAATAAAGTTTAGGGGTCATTTAAAAAATTGATAGAATCTAGATCACAGTAAATAAAATCCCTTCAGGCTCTCTCTAATGTATCCATTCCTTCGTTCAACAAATATGGCCCGCACCATATACCAGGCATGGGGCACCTACTATGTATCAGACAACAGACGTGGCCCCTACTATGTACTAAGTGATGCTGCAATAAATGTGGCAGACAGAGTCTCTACTCTCCTGACGCTTCCTGTCTTACCCTGGTGAGACCCAGGACTGGAAAACTGGGTTCACTTCTGGGCACTGTGTTTTAAGAGGCACATGGACAAAACAGAATGTGTCCAGATGAGGCCAGCAAACAAAACACTGAGGTCATAAAGGAATCAGCTTAAATCATTGGTGGTGAGTAACCTGAAGAGGAAACCAAGAGAAATGAGAGAGTTGTAATATCTGGATAAAGATACACATATCTGGAAGGGCATCATGGATTTATCCCATATGCTGGAGTATGGGCAATGATACAACAGGCAGAGAAGGATCAGATACCAGAACTGGAGATCCAGATGAGTGTGAAGGGCTCAGCAGAGACTTCCACTTCAGTCCTTATAAATGGGGGCGAAGGGGCAAGTTCAAACCTGGACACATGACCTTGGGCAAATCACTTGTCTGAGTCCCTGGTTCTTCAGCTGTGACAAGGCAGGGGGATTAAAGGAGCTCTAACTTGCCTGTCAGCTTTGATCTTCTATGATGCTATGATTCAACTTGACATATGTGAAAAAGAGAAAAACTTAATATCATTTAAGAAAAATCGGAAGTTGATAATATGCTTCCATTTCAACTAATGCAAATAACATATGATAAAAAGCAGCTTGGCTTCTAGAAATTCCTGAGAGCAATGCTAGTCATTTCTGACCTGCTGTATGTTTATTTAGCATGGTGAGAAGAATGGAATTTGAAGGTATTTTACCACTGCTTAATCCACATAGCAAATACCTTTTGAGGGTATAGAGTAACAATTTGGTGTAGCGAGTATTTCTCTTTTATGCTGGTTCTTATTAACTGAAGTCTTTGGCTCAGGACATACAAAGCACTCTTCATTCTTTACAGCAGAATTAGGAGTATATACATTCTCTTTGTTCTTTAATTTATTGGCAGATGCTCCGCCTAACACTGGAGTTAATGATTTAGTCTCCAGACCATTTGAGTCTGTCCTATGCTTGGCAAACTGGAAAAAAACGTTACTGAATAAAGCACACTGAAGAAGAAGAAAAGTCAATTTCTTTACAATATGCCTTAATCATTTGCAAATTACCTTGCACCATTTTTATTAAAATAAAATACTATCAAAAGGATATTATTGGCAATACCAGGAAATTTGAAAATGTATATTCAGTGCTCTTTAGTACATGAAGATCACTTTAGTCTGTTCTATTGATAGGTAATTTTCAACATATTTCAGGCTGAGTGTTTAATCAAACACACCCAGATCCTAGGTAATATTGAGAATGGCCAGAAATAAATCCCTAAGAATCGCTTCCCATACTTAGATTGCCATGGTTTGTCTCTAATATGCACCAAAAAATAAAGATTTAGTCAACGATTAGGGCAGAAAACCCATGTTAAAATACTATAAGGGCATCTACCTACCATCTCGGATAATCAACAGCATGGGTTATAACAGCCACGGAAGCCTTAGACCTATGCAAGGTGCTAAGTCAGGTCCAGAGCTCCCCTATAAAGCCAGCAGGGGCTATAACTAAAACAAAAGGGGGAATTAAATATAAATCTGCCTTGCAAAGGAGTTGGCAAGAAAACGTATCTGTCTTGGCCTTGGCTCTGGAAGAAAAAAAGAGTCTCCTTTAATAATTTCTAAGTAACCACAGGACAGTCTTCACAAAGGTTTGGGCCCAAATTCATACTACCTGCGTGGTTCTGGAAATCTCAAGCCAAAAATTTAACTTTAGTCTTAAGTCAGTTATGTCTCAGGAGTGTGGTAGAAGCAAACACAACTTCTATCTGAAAGAAAAGCTTTAATCCATCACAACCTAAGCCTTCAACCTCAATCCAAGCCTCAAAGAATTCCCACAGAGTACCAAGAAAAATGAGCCTATAAAAATATTTGCAAAAGACACAAACACCATGAAAAAAAGTCAACAGAAAAAAATAAACAGAATCAAACCCATAAAGATGTCAGATATTAAAATTATCAAATATAGAACACAAATATGTCCATATGTTTAAAACAATAAAAGAAAACTGAAAACATGGGAAAAGACTACTAAAATGTTAGTTTCTAAAAAGAATAAAAGTCTCTAGAAACAAAAAAATGTACTGATAAAAATGAAAAACTCAATGGACATGTCAAATAGACAGATTAGATACAAATAAAAAAAGAATTTGTGAATGGGAAATAAATCTGAAGAAATTTATCCAGAATGTACTCCAAAAAGAAAAAGATATAGGATATATGAAAGAGAGTTTAAGATAAATAGAAAATGAAGTGAGATGGTCTACCATAGGTCTATTCTAAATTCCAGAGATAGATACTAGAGACAAGAAAAAAACCCCAATTTTTCAAGGAGTTTCCAAATTTATTAAAGATATAAATCCTTATATATAGGAAGCACAGTGAATCATAAACAAGATCAATAGTGTGTAATCTAGGAGAAGGTGACCAGAGATTAAGTGTTCTAAGGACTTCATATGTTTGGAAGGAAAATAAAGACACAAATTAACTTTATATTTGGTTAAATTAGCATGTTAAAAATTTAGAGTAAATATTAAAAGAACAGAAGTAAAATAGAAACCAATGGAATAAGGAGAGAATATTAACATAAAAAGCAAGAAATATGGGAAAAATTACAGAAAAAGTGGGAAAAATAGAGAACACAAAATAAGATGGCAGATATATGATAAATACATTAGTAATCAAAATAAATGTAAGTTTGTCAGGCTCTCAACTCAAAAGACAAAGATTTTGTTTGCATACCAAATTGAGCTCTATGTTGTTTTAAAGAAATATAACTAAAATATAAGGGCATGAAAGATTGAAAATAAAAAAATGAAAAAATATATACTAGACAAATGACCAAAAGTAAATCAATATAGCTATCTTAACATCAGAGAAACAAACAAACTTCAAGGAGAAAAACATCACTAGTAATAAAAAGAATCACTATAAATGATAAAAATTCTGAATTTATATGCTAATTATATAGCTTCAAATATATATAAAGCAAAAAACAGATAAAACTACAAAGAGAAAATCATAAACTACAATCACATTAGAAGATTTTTAACAGATCCTACTCTCAAGCAAATTTATGGATCAAGCAGACAATAAATTAGTATGGACACAGAAGATTTAACAGTAGAATTTACTAAGATTGATCTAATAGACAAATAAGAAAATAACAAAATAGAAACAACGATATAATAGATAGAACTAACAAAGCCAGAAATTGATTCTTTGAAAAGACTAATAAAACTGACAAAACTCTGGCAAGACTGATCCAAAAAATGAAGGAGTGGCAAATAAACAAATACACTTTAGAAATGAAAATGGGGACATAAACAGATAGTACAGATATTAACAAGATCATAATATCCTCCTGTTGACTTTATGCCATTGTCTTTTAAAACTTAGATGAAATGGACACTAGAAAAACAAAACTCACCAAACTGACAAGAAAAAAAAGTCAATAAGCACCTACTTATCACTAGCTACTTTAAATGTCAATGAACTAAATCCTCCCATCAAAAGACACAGGGTGGCTGAGTGGATAAAAAAACAAGACCCATACATATGCTGCGTACAAGAGACACACTTCAGGCCTAGAGACACTCACAAACTGAAAGTGAAGGGATGGAAAAAGATTCTCCATGCAAATGGCAATGAAAAGAAAGCTGGAGTAGCAACACTTATATCAGACTGACTAACTAAATAAAATCAGACTTTAAAACAAAAACTGTAACAAGACAAAGAAGGGCACTACGTAATGATCAAGGGAACAATCCAACAAGAGGATATAACACTTGTAAATATCTATGCACCTAACATAGAAGCACCTAAATATATAAAGCAATTATTAATAGACATAAAAGGAGAAATAGACACAATAATAGTAGGGGACTTGGACACTCCACTTACATCAATGGACAGATCATCCAAACAAAAGATCAACAAGGAAACATTGGCCTTAAATGACACAGTAGACCAGATGGACTTAGTAGATATACAGAACATTCTATCCCAAAACTGCAGAATACACATTCTTTTCGAACGCACATGGAACATTCTCCAAGATAGATCACATATTAGGCTACAACACAAGTCTCAATCAATTTAAGAAGACTGAAATAATACCAAGCATCTTTTCTGACCACAACAGTATGAAACTTGAAATCAACTACAGGAAGAAAATCAGAAAAGCCACACATATGTGGAGATTAAACAAAATGCTACTGAACAATGATTGGGTCAATGAAGAAATCAAAGGAGAAATAAATACCTGGAGACAAATTAAAACAAAAATGAAAACAAGACCTGCCAAGATTTATGGGATACAGCAGAACTGGTTATGAGAGGGAAGTTCATAACAATATAGGCCTACCTCAACAAACAAGAAAAATCTCAAATAAACAATCTAATAGTACACCTAGAGGAACTAGAAAAAGAAGAACAAAGCCCCAAATCAGTAGGAAGTAAATAATAAAAATCAGAGTGAAAAATAAATGAAATAGAGACTAAAAACACAGTAGAAAAAAAATAAATGCAACCAAGAGCTAGTTCTTTCAAAAGACAAAATTGACAAACCTTTAGCTAGACTCACCAAGAAAAAAAGAGAGAAGGCTCAAATAAAATCACAAACAAAAAAGGATAAATTACAACAGATACCTCAGAAATATAAAAGATTATAAGAGAATACTAGGAAAAGCTACATACCAACAAATTGGATAACATAGAAGAAATGGATAAATTCTTAGAATCATACAACCTTCCAAGACTGAATCAAGAAGAAATAGAGAATTTGAATAGACCAATCACCAGTAAGGAGATTGAAACAGTAATCAAAAACCTCCCAAAAATAAAACTCCAGGACCAGGCAGCTTTCCTGGTGAATTTTACCAAATATTCAAAGAATTAATACCTTTCCTTCTCAAACTCTTCCAAAAAATTGAAGAGGAGGGGAAGCTTCCTAACTTATTCTACAAGGCCAACATTACCCTGATACCAAAGCCAGACAAGGACAACACAAAGGAGGAAAATTAGAGGCCAATATCACTGATGAACATCGATACAAAAATCCTCAACAAAATACTAGCAAATCGAATACAATAATACATTGAAAAGATCATACACCATGACCAAGTAGGATTTATTCCAGGGATGCAGAGATGGTTCAACATCCACAAATCAATCAACGTGATACATCACATTAACAAAATGAAGAATAAAAATCACATGATCATCTCATGAGATGCAGAGAAAGCACTGACAAGATATAGCATCCATTTAGAACAAAAACTCTGAATAAAATGAGTATAGAAGGAAAGTACTATAGCATAGTCAAGGCCATATATGACAAACTCACAGCTAACATCATACTCAATGGAGAAAAACTGAAAGCTGTCCCTTTAATAACAGGAACCAGACAAGGATGCCCACTTTCACCACTCTTATTTAACATAGTATTGGAAGTCCTAGCCAGAGCAGTCAGGCAAGAAAGAGAAATAAAAGGGATTCAAATTGGAAAGGAAGAAGTAAAACTGTCATTATTTGCAGATGACATGATTTTATATATGGATAACCCTAACGAATCTACCAAAAAACTTTTAGAAATAATAAATGAATAAGTAAAGAAAGGATACAAAATCAACATACAAAAATCAGGTTGCATTTCTGTACACTAACAACAAAGTAGCAGAAACAGAAATTAAGAATACAATCCCATTTACAATTGCAACAAAAAGAATAAAGTACCTAGGAATAAATTTAACCAAAGTGGTGAAAGGCCTGTACACTGAAAACTATAAAACATTGCTGAAAGAAATTGAAGAAGACACAAAGAAATGGAAAAATATTCTATGCTCTTGGATTGGAAGAATTAACATAGTTAAGAGGTCCATACTTCCTAAAGCAATCTACAGATTCAATGCAATCTCAATCAAAGTTCCAATGACATTTTTCACAGAAATAGAGCCAAGAATCCTAAAATTTATATGGAACAACAAAAGACCCCAAATAGCTAAAGTAATCCTGAGGAAAAAGAACAAAGCTGGAGGTATCACACTCCTTGATTTCAAAATATACTACAAAGCCATGGTAATCAAAACAGCATGGTACTGGTAAGTTTAAAACTTTTAAAAGCAATATATGTGAATGCATTTATGACTTCTGCATAAGGAAGGATTTCTTTAAAAAGACACAAAAATTACAAACCATAAAGGAAAATACTGACAACTTCTAACTCATTAAAATTAATGACTTTTGTCATCAAAACAAAAAGACAGATGACAAACTCAGATAATATATTTGCCACACATAACCTTTGTTAAATTAAGAACTTCAAGAAAACAAGAAAAAAGAAACAATCCAATAGAAAAATATGCGAAGCATATGAAAAACCATTTCACAGAACAGGAAATACCACTGGCCAATCAATATATGAAAAGATGCGTAAGTAATCAGAAAAGTACAAATTAAAACCACAGTGATTGGGGCCAGCCCGGTGGCATAGTGGTTAAGTTCACACATTCCACTTCGATGGCCTGGGGTTCGCAGGTTTGGGTCCTGGGCCCGGACCTACATACACCTCTCATCGAGCCATGCTGTGGCAGTGTCCCACATACAAAAAAACAGAGGAAGGCTGGCACAGATGTTAGCTCAGCAACAATATTCCTCAAGCAAAAAGAGGAAGGTTGGCAACAGATGTTAGCTCAGGGCCAATCTTCCTCACCAAAAAGAAACCACAGTGAGATATCACTTTACACAAACCAGATTAGAAAATATTAAATAGCTAAAAGTATCAAGTATTGATAAGTATGTAATATCAAGTATTGATAAGTATGTGGAGCAATGGGAACACTCTTATACTGCTGGTTGAAATATAATTAGTACAACCATTTTGGGGAAAAAATTGGCATTATCTGGTAAGGCTGAAGATACTCATTCCGCTCCTAAGTATATATCCTGTAGAACTGTCACACACATGTACCAGGGGCCTTGCTGTGCACAAGAGTTAACACAGTGGTCCTGGCTGGACTCTGGGGACTCAGCTCTTAAAACGTTCCCAACGAAGATAAGTCTGTTCGTATGTCTGGGGCACTGAAACCTGCTACACCAGGTTGTACGGACTGCACAGTGTGATTTATGCTGAACACCTGCTTTCCTTCTGAAGTCTAGAATTTCTATGATTGTGACTGATCACACAGGCAAAGTGCCTGTGTAACCAGCCCCCAGTAAAAACTCTGGACTCTGAGTCTCTGGTGAGCTTCCCTGAGCAGAAACATGCACACCCGCTGCTGTACTTCACGCGGAAGGAAGGAGGGCACTCTGCTGGCCCCCTTGGAGAGAGCGGAGGAAAAATAGTAAGTATACATTCAAGATGCTCGACCAACTCCAAGTAGGAGAAAAAGATGATCAAAAGGAGAGGAAAACAGATCAGCTGCTGCTCTGAGTTGGGGGGAAGGGGAAGCTGACTACAAAGGGGCATGAGTGAATTTTGGGGGGCCGCAGAACTGTTCTTGATTTGGTGGTGGTTACACAACTATGCATTTGTCAAAACTCATAGAGTTGTGCACTAAAATGGTGAATTTAACCATTTAACTACACGTAAATTATACCTCATTAAAAAAAAAAAAAAGGGGGGGGGTGGTAAAGTGCTCCAAACTGGAATCTTGGCTTTCTTCAACTTGGAAATAATTGGCCTCCCTTTCATTCATATTCTAACAATCTCTCATTAATGTTTCCAACAGCATAGGAATTCATTAAATTTGCAAGAACATACTAGATCTCATGTTACAGCCTGGAGGTTTTTGTAATCAAGACAACATATCCTTCTTTACTTAGCAATAAAAATAGCCAACCTGTGGTGTTTGGGGAGTAGCCACACCTGTTGATGAATTGTCTACACACCATTCCTGGTCTATTAATCCAGCCACATCATTTTCATCACCTGTGGTGACATCTTCTAGACTCAGATTCTTTGACTATTCAAACACAGAAGAACTTAAGAGACACCACCACCATGACTCAATTTTTAAGATAGTGTATTCCTGGCACAGGGCAAGGCCCCGGAAGCAGAAACAAATGAGAGATCGTATATTGAAGGAGCTCACTATTCAGTACAGAAAACAGAAGTCTAGATAGGAGAATCTTTGACTCTCAAACAATGTCTTGGAACATTCTTATGTTACATGGCATACTACATAGCTTATCATTGTCCAATAATTGCTATAATAGCAGACAAATAACTCCCCTGAGTATCTACAAATAAAAAGCTCTGACCAAGTAGAAGATGGAAGGGAAACAACTTGAAAACACAGGTTTCTTAGTTGTAAGAACAGAGTAGTTAGCAGCAGGAATAAATTAGCCTTAGGAAAGATCTGCTGGGGACAGAGTATTTGAGGTCCTGTGCTAACAATACCACCAGAGTCATTTATTTTCCCTCATTCGTCCCCCTGTATAAACTAAGGGTATACCAAATATACCCTAAATTCTAAGACTGTGGGGTGTAATTGGATTTTTTATTTCTCCCTCCTTCCCTTTTCCCCCAACATCTAGTTAACCTGGCCAGGCAACTTTAATTTCTTAACCACATCCTTTCTCCTCCAGTCCCATTGCCACTGTTCTAATTCAGGGACAAATCTCAGACCTGAACTGTTCAAACAGACAATATGGTCTCTGCCACCAGTCCTTCCACCCTCTCACCCGAGGATGACAGAGTTCATAATAGTTTAGATGGCCACAATCATAGTATATGCTTTGAGGTTTACATAATGGACCAACCTAGTAGGAGATGGGTAAACTACTATGATAAATTATCAAAAAATGTTGCCTTTAATCCAGACAGGGTCGGGGGAAGGAAGGACGGAAAAGGTTTCATGGAGAAGGTACTTGGGAACTGGGTGAAAACTATGTAGTTATAATCACTCTCCACTTTCCAAAAATTACATTAAAGATTTTTCCCGCACCTCCCACATCTATGGTCTCATGTATGAAGCCACCTTTTGGAAAGAGAGGCCATAAACTGATGAGCGACAATGGCTCAGCAACAAGGTGCCACTTGCTCATCAACAGTGGCATAACCCAGTCGCTGTACACAACACCTGGACAGTGCTAAGAGTTCTAGATGAAGTTTTCTAAACATGCCTAGGAGTTTTACAGTCATCCCCTAAACCCTCTTTTTCCCCAGGCCAAAAAGCATCCTTTTTATAACTTTTGTGCCACAGCCACTACAGGCTATGCATTACATAAGATGCACAGGGGAGTTCTGTGATCAATAACAGATAAATCAACACATTAGTTACACTTTCAAGTGACGTCAATCCACAAGTCTGACACAACCAACGTCTCCCTTATCTGTAAGGCAGGTCCCTCTTTTGAAAGTCAAATGTCTGAAAGTAAAGCAACAGGCTTACCTGTTATAAAGAAAGTTTCATTTCTAGAAAACTAAAATATTTTTAAATGCCCAGTTATTGTTCAGGCAGTTAAACTGAACCAAACGTTAAAGAGCTACCCAGGCACCTGCACTGAGGAGGCGCAGCTCCTGGTACAGAGGGTTTGGGAAACTGAGGAGTGGCCCACTAGCCTTCCCTTGACCTTGCTCCCGCGGCCCTCCCTCAATCTTTAAACTTCCGCCACCAGAATACCCGGGTATTTGCATTGCAGGGGTGGGAAAGGGATCTGTCTTGGTCTGTATAGGTTCTCGTCTGCACATGTGACCCTCGGTGAGGTTCCCCTACCAGATGACGGGCGGCTCCCACAACCCGGAGCTGCTCACAGTGGGAAGAATAGGGGGAAAGTAAGAAAAGCAATGAGGTGGATGCTCTAGCACCACTGCTGGGAATCTCAGGAGGGCTACAATAGATAGCTCAAAATCATGAGATGGGGAACTCTCCCTTCTGCATACAAAAACCAGTTTCAGAGTGCTCATGTATATAATATAAAGTGGGAGTTCTCTGAGTTTATTGTTTGGGAATAACACTTTCTCTCTCTTTGCACAAACATCAGCAGCACCATACCAGCATGGAGCACACTAAACTGATATCTCTCTGTCCTGTCTAACCAGCCCCAAAAGAAAGGCAGAGCTCCCCAGATGCCAGAAAAAATATGAGAGACACAGCTGATCCCAAACCTGCTTTTCCTGAGGCTCTTTAAACAGGCAAGTACCTAGGACCAACGTGAATCCTCTGAGACTGCCTAGACCAGGACTCCTCAACCTCAACACTACCGACACGGACCTGGACCATTCTTTGTTGCGAGGGGCTGTTCTGTGCATTGTAGGATATTTAGCAGCATCCCTCGCCTCTGCCCACGAGATGCCACTAGCACAGACACACACCCCAGTTGTAACAACCAAAAATGTCCCCTGAGGGGCAAAATCACCCCCCGTTGAGAACCACTGACTTAGACCAACGCTTCTCAAGTTTGAATGTTCGTATGAATCACTGAGGGATTTTATCGAGATGCAGATTCTGATTCAGGAGGGCTGAGATGGGGCCTGAGATTCTGCATTTCTAACAAGCACCACAGGATGCTGACACTGCTGGTTCTAGACCACACTTTGAATAGCAAGACTCTAGAGCAGCACTTCTCAGCTCCTGGCTGCACACTGCCACCATCTGGGAAGCTCTTATAAATTCTGATGCCCAGGCCATAGCCCAGACCAATGAAATCACAGCCTCGGAGGGTGGGACCTAGGCATCAGGGTTAGTTTCAAGTTCCCAGGGGATTCCAGTGCTCAGCCAAGGCTGGCAAGAACATCCCCAAGACTGGAAAACAAGTATAAAGAGGCATTTAAGAGTGAGGGAGGAGTACAAAAGGAGAAAAACTATGAGTTTCCTCACTGCATTCTTGATGTTGGCCATGCCTAGCCGTCAGAATAACTGAGATTTTCAGAGAGATGTAACACCAGAAAACAATCTCTACCATGCTTCATTATCCATTTTGTTTTCTGTATCAGAAGTAAAGGAAATAATTCCTATTTCCATTTCACTTTTAAGTTTGAAAATTTTATGTAGAGACCACATAAAGGATACTATTTTAAAGACTTTTTTTTTCAATGATTCTTGAAATTCAGAGTATGCTACTTTTAAGATTCAGAGTTTAAAAGTTTGTGGATCTCATACTAGATTTTTTATGGATAAAATGATACGACATATGGGATTTGCTTTGAAATACCCTAGCTGGAAAGGGCAGATGAGGAAGTGTGCTGGGCTATAGATAAAATTGGCAAAATGTTAATAACCGTTGAAACTGGATGACGAGTACATTGAAAATCACTGTTATACTATTCTCTCTACTTTCATAGGTGTTTAAAAATTTCTATAATAAAAATTTTAAAATAAATTTTATGTATCTGAAATACAGTCATCTATTAAAGATCATCCCAAAGAAAGTCATGCAATTTTTGTAAGTTGCTTTTATGGAAAATTCAGATTTTCATTGTAAAAGACTAAGGACTTGACATATCTTGCAACAGTTCCCAATTCTTGCCATTTCTTTCCACTCTATGGAAAAGTAAATTATCATTCTGTTTTTCAGACATATTCCAGAGCCTTTGCTTATTATGTCATTCCAAAGAATTCCTTTACCCTTGGTAGGATAGTGACCAGAAGGGACATGGGAGTGTTTCTGGGGTTCTGGAAATGTTTTGGTTATGGAGCAGCTGGTTCCATGAGTGTGTTCACTCAGTGAAAACTGATCAAGCAGTTCCCTTATGATTTGTGTGTTTTTCTGTATGTATGTTATGCTTCAATAAAAAGTTAATGTTAAAAAAAAAAGAATTCCTTTATATCGCCTCTTCACTGAAAAGAACTGTGGCTTAGCAAAGCTTTGTTTAGTAAAAAAAAATTTGCTTAAGGCCTTTACCTTGCAAGTTAGAAAACAGAAAAAACAAACAGAAATCACAGGTGATGAGAGACACAGTACTGAACCAGGAGCAAATGTGGGTGCAGCCCCTGCCCATCAGGTGAGATTCTTCTCAGAGACAGCCGGGAATGCCTCTATCTCTAGGAAAAAACACATTGCCATCTAGAGATTAAGCATCTGAAAGAGCTAAAACAACCCAACACCAGAAATCACGATAATGATTTCATGTATTTGGTTCATAAGCTTGGGGGTGACGTGATACAGGGCTGCTTTTAGGTAAGAAGAAAATGGCTCTGTGTTCACCTTATTCCTACAGCAGCATCCTAGTTTCATGTTCGAGCATTTGAAGTAGTCAAAACCAGAACTCTGCCAATTCTTGGGACTAGTTTGTTCTGTTTCTAAATTTTTTTTTCACTGTAATTTTCTTTAATCAATGTCATTTTTAAAAAGGTCATCTAGCAGACATCAGAAAAGAGTTAGTGGAAATCATACATAAATATAAAATAAGTGCAATATTTACACCCATAATAAAATCATAGTCTGAAAAATGCTATACCATTTTTAATGTACTGATAAAGAACCATAAAACAGACGATAATACTCTCAAATTCATGCTGTATTTCTTACCAATGAAATTAAATCCTCCATTGTTTGCCTGTTGTTTCTGTGACGTACAGCAAGCTCCGTCACACAATCTTCATCAAGGTGAATAAGCTATAAAAGACATTTTATAAACTTTACTAGCAAAAAATTACAAAATCTTCATTGTTTTGAAATTTTTGAATTACCATAATTACCTTGTAAAATCAAACACCAATATGTAAAAACAACACGAGTTCGTCAAACTCTTGGGTAAGAATAAACATTCTCCGTGATTGTTTAAGACATAAGCAGATGACAATCAGCAGTTCAAGAAGATGAGCTCTTCCCAGCCCTTCACATCCCCATCATCATCTGATCAAGTGCTAAAATTCTGCTGTGCAGCCAAGGGGCTCTATCCTCCCCTGTCACAAGACCCGCACTGGCGTTTTCATCAAAGAGCAGTCATCCAGGCACCTCAAGTCAGTGGCTCAGACTTGCAGCATATTGCCCTCAGGTTATGTCTGCGTTTAGCACAACCCGAGGAGCCCTCGCGATGGGGCCGTGGATGCTGCACAATCATCATCACGCTGAAGGTACTGCAAAGCAGTTTGAAAAAGAAGTGGGACGGCCTCTCTACAAACTTTACTTTGCTTAAGGATAGAAATTATCCAAGTATTCGGATGCCCGCATGATGGGACCTCACCAAAGATGGGGCCAGAAGAGGGTTCTCAGAACAAAGTAAGGATCACGGAGAATGAAAAGCAGGAAGGGCCTCACCTGGACCTGGACCAGGAGTTCGGAAAATCACACGGGAAGAGATCATAAGAAGTGTAATTTTAAAGTTATTTTTCCAACATAAGAATTCTCTTCACAATAGCCCCGATAAGTGACGTTTCAGTTTCTGCTGGAAGTCCTCTGCAGAACAGCTGGGAAGGTTAGCTTCTCCCTCCTGCCCCCCAAGGGCTGTCTCCCTGTGATCCCTACCCACCGTGAGTCGGCACAATCTGACAGCCAAGAGGCTTTGGAATTAGACGGACTGTGGTTTTAGTTGTGACATCACTGAACAACCGTGTGACCTCGAGCACTTTACTATACCTCTCTGAGCCTCCGTTTCATCGCCTGTGAAACAGAGATAGCACCTGGCCTGCAATAAATGTAACACACATGGAGCGCCCAGCATGACACCTACACAGAGTGGGCCCTCGAAAAGCGGTGAACTGTTTTCACCAACAGTCATAATTCCATTTCCTCTTTGGTATAACAGCCTTTCAGGAATCTGAATCTTCCTGTTATAGACAACCCGTCCTCTCAAGTTTTCCCTTTTCCAGTTCTTTGAACCACTGTCTTAATGATTAACCCCGCCGACCGCTTTGGCCCTTTCTTTAGTCACAGTCCGGGCTGTCACTGACCCTCAAGGTGAGGTGTTCAGAACCCAACGTAATATGCCAAGAGAGCTTTGCCCAGCACAAGGCAGAGCAATATGACGATCCTCCCTTGTTCCGGACACCACACTTGTAACAACGGGCTCAATCGTTCTGCCATCATGAAAACAGAGGAACAGAACAGACAGTGACCTGCACAGTTGGCTGGTACGAGCACAACCTCATGAGTTACGGAGAATGTGGAGACCACAAGGTTCATACTAACGGTACCGTGCAAGTCTCAAATGCTAAGAATACGTTTTCATCGTGTTGCTTTGACCTTGGCAGCTCCCAGAACTGTGGATTCCCGCTTCAGGAAGGGCTCAATCTGAGCAGCCCGGACACTTGACCACCCAGCTGGGCATCTCCTTGTTGACATCACTGCTCGAGCGAGAAGGGAAAGATTCCGGGGGTTTCCTCCAAGATCTTAAGTTACTCTCCTAAAAAAAAACCTTCCTTCTCTCCCATAGCCTCCTGCTCTGACCTTACCACAAGGTGTGTGTGGGAAAGGAGGGAAGGGTAGGAAGCAGGTGCTATTTTCTTTGCTGGGCTCTTGAACTGGAAAGAATGGAAAGAGGAGGTGGGGATGAGACACCCAAGTCTGAAAAATATGGCTTATCTCAAGCTGGGTTTTCCAAAGAGGCTCAATACTTTGAGTACTCTGAATTCTCAGCCACACAAGGTCAAGTTAAATTCAGTACAAAAATGCATACCAAAAGCTAACCAATGATTTTGGATTATCCGTGCCTACTGCATTTCCTGTTCAGTAGGGCAGAAGATAGAACTGAATATAACTTTCATTTGATACAATACTTGAGCACTAGAGCTATGTGTGAAAAGGATAGAAGATCGTGCACAGAGTTATCGAATAGCATCTATACTTTAAATATCCAAGTAAATCTGAATTACTTTTTATAGTTCACTCTTAATGAAACACGATACTGAGGGAGAAAAGCAAATACTTCGAAAAGCAACAATAATCCCGTACAGCTCTTCTGTGTATAACTCATGTGATCCCGGCACCAGCTCTGTGAGGCAGGCAAGACAGATGAATGACCTAACACATAAAGGCACTCTATAAACGGCAAAACACAACCCAAATATACCTAGGAGACCGACATTAGAACACCCAGATCAGAGCTGAGAAAATGAAGACTCAGAGACATTCATGCGATCTGCCCGAGTCTGGCATTTTTCATTCCTAGCCCAGGTTTCTTCTACCACAATGCCACCTCTCCATGACTCGGCTCCAAGCTATTCCCAAAGAGACCAGACCAACAATGCTTGTCACAAAGGCTACAGCTACGCAGGATACAGGCCCTGAGACTGAACTAGTTGACCCCTCAGATCCATTATATTCTGGAGCCCTTCTGTCTGGTTTCAAATCCTGCCTCTGCACTTACTATTGTTTGACCTCGGGCAAGTTACTTCATGGTTCTGTGTCTCAGGTGCTTCATCTGCAAAATGGGGACAATAAGAGTATCTACCTCAGAGGGTTGGCACGAGGACTAAATGAGTTAAAAACATAAAGCCCACAGAACAGCACTGACTCTTACAGGTACTATCTGAAGGGCTCTATCTGTATTACACTGCAGGATCATATACAGAGGGTCCTTACTATAACAGCACACTGTTCTATTATAGCAAGTATTCCATAAATATTAGCAATTATTATACAGAGATTTAAGGAAAATTATGTACCTCTTTGGAATACTATGCATTTTACTTTATACTGTAACTCAATTTAAAATCATTTTTGTCTTGTTGAAATCAGAGGCTTCCTTCATTTTGGCATCTGTCCCACTGCAGACAGTAGTGTCCCCTATCCTATTAAGAGCATGGCTGGGTGGACATGCAGAGCCCTCCCACACATGGAGAAATGGTGACCCCCAATGGTGGCACACGGGCATTTGCACCGCCCCTCTCTCCACCTCACGAGGGGCACATCACAGCTTCTCTGGCCCTGCTGCTACACTGCTCGGACACCTGCACCGGCCGCTGTTCCTAGGCTCTCAGTGTGGACAGTCGGTAGAATTAAGTTGCGGCTCTACTTGTATTTGCTCAACAGATATTACAGATGTCATGAAGGGCTGACACGACAACAGAAGGGAAATTTCAGGAGCCAGCAGTCACAGGAGAATCAGGAAGGATTTCAGCTCAGGCTATATGGCCAAACAGTGGGCAGACTAGGGAGAAGGGGCTAAATACAAGCATAGTCTATTTTTCCAAGACCAGCTGGCCACTAGGAAGAGTATTTATGTCTATTGGTGTGATTATCACAGAAAGCAAATACTGCCCAGCTGTACCAAGTCTACACTGTGGCATATCCAAGACACACCTCCGAGCTATTCTGTTGACCCACGCACATACTCCACTCCACTGCAGAAGTTTTAGTGGATTATCAGAGAAAATTCCCAATTATCTGAAAAGGCTATTAAATACTTCTCCTTTAAAATATTAAAATCCTTGTCTAACGACCTATCTGTGTGAGGCTGCATTTTCTTCATATGCTTCAATCAAAACAACATATCAAAACAGATTGAATGCAGAAGCAGATGAGTATCCAAGAGTCTTCTATTAAGCCAGACATTAAAGAAATTTGCAAAGATGTAAAACGATGCTACTCTTCTTGCTAAATTTATTTTTAAAATTGTCATTTTTCATAAAAATATTTATTTTTTATAAAATGTAATAGGTTTACTACTGTTACCTTTAAGTGAATCCATAAATAAATATTAAGAGCATAGAAAGGTCCTCAGACGTAAAAGTTTGAGAACCACTGTAACCTCGTAACTGCTCTAGGAAGCAGAAAGAACTGGTTTAACGTACTTTTCACAGAGGAATAAATAGGTTTGGCAAAGTTAAGTAACTTGCCCGTGATTCCCAGAGCACTGTTCACAATCCTGGCTACACATGAGATACACGTAGGAGCTTTTAAAAATATCCGTTAATTGTTCTGGGATGGGGCGCAGGCATTTTTTTAAAGGTCCCAGTGATTCTCATGTGCAGCCTGGGTTAAGAACCACTGTCCAAGAGATTAACAGGCAAATATATAATTAGGTTACAAGTCTCCCAAACGCCAGTCTGATGAATAAGTCTACAAAATACATTTTCTTTTATATCTAGACCACAACTTTGTAGGTCCTGAATCCACACAAAGTTTAAAAAAACATTCTACTGCATTTCATTTCACTTACAGGAGTCTTGCTTTGCCACTCAACAGGACAGTTGTAATCTTGCATGATCTAGCGATGGCTCAACAGATTTTTCACAGAAATCCATTTCTTTGGGTCCACCTAGTGGCCATTGAGAAGTAACTAGAGATTAACGTTTCAAATAGAGAACATAGAACTCCTTTCCTCCTGAGAACTCAAAATTCATCAGAACAGATGTTAAACTTTATCATCACAAAAACGCTGTCAAAGACCTTAAAATGGCTTTGGAATAAATTCTTTAAAAAAATCAATAGAGGCAAGAAAACTAGAGCAACCAACACAGGCTTACAAGAAAAATGTTTAACAAACATGAACATTGACATTGGCATGGACATTATTGATGAAGTTCAGTAAATCCATTGTATGATGGAATAGTCTTTTGCTGGAAAACCTATTCACAGGAGATATTGACCAATTTAACATTCGAGCAGGCACAATGCAGGGCATTCATAGTGAATATGCAATCTCTACCTCTGAGAAGCTTACAATCGCAGAGGACAAGTTGAAAAGCACACCTTTCTTTTCCATTTGTAATTTTCAAATGTGAGCAGAGGAAAATTAATCAACAGAGATTAAGTTTTTTTGGAGTTGAGAAGAAAGGCTGAGGTGGTTTCTTTCTTTTTTTTGTGAGGAAGATCAGCCCTGAGCTAACATTCATGCCAATCCTCCTCTTTTTGCTGAGGAAGACTGGCCCTGAGCTAACATCCGTGTCAATCTTCCTCTACTTTATGTGGGACGCCACCACAGCATGGCCTACGAGCGGTGCGTCAGTGCATGCCTGGGATCCGACCCCGGGCCGCCAGCAGTGGAGCACATGCACTTAACTGCTACGCCACGGGGCCGGCCCCTGAGGTGTTTTTGATCTCATATGGAGATGTGGTGGTCTGGCCCTACTTAATCAAGGTGGGTGAGCCTGAGGTAAACTTTGAATAAAAAGTGGAGATGGCTTAATAGATGGGAAAACTAGGAGATATTCTGAAGACATATTAATGAAAAAAATACACTAATAACGTACTCATATGTTCAAAGTGTTTCCTGTTAATCTCATTTTATCCTCATCACACCCCATAGCCGGAGGCCCAGTTCAGAATCCCCACTTCGTGGATCAGAACTAGGTCAGGTGGCGTGCCTACTGATTGGCAGGGCAGACATCGAGACTTGAGCATTCCTGTCTTTCACCCTCAGAGGCCATTCACTAAATCGGCGGTTCTCAAAGCGTGTCCCAGCAGCATCAGTGTCGTCTGGGAGCTTGTCAGAAATGCAGATTCTTGGCCCTCCCCCGATCTACTGAATCAGACCCCCTGGGGGTGGTGCCCAGCAGTCTGTGTTTTAACAAGCCCGTCTGGCGATTGTGAGACACGCTACAGTTGTGAACCACTGCACTAGATCACGGCGCCCTCTCAGCTGTACATCAGCTTATTCAAGCATTTATTCAGTATCTACCGTGTATCTAACGTACGAGAGTGAGAGCGAGAAATGGTTAGAGAAAACAGACAGTGCTCAAAAAAAGGACGAAAAACCCCATCAGCAAAGACATATGGCAGAGGTCTAAAACAAACGCATTTGCGACATAATGAAGACAGCGTCTTGCAGAGGACGTCTGCACGGCAGACACAGTAAATGGAATTCCGAGGCTAATAGATAAATGGTCTGTCCTCCAAATGCAGCAGCACCACAGACATCTTCAAGTTGGATCAAACAATTGCAACAGACTCCTATTATTTAAAAATAAATGAAAAAATTTACCTGTAGCATTTGTTGAAGAAGCAGAGTGCTACTGGGAGAGAGCCACTTAGGAACCTCATATTTCCCTCTCTACAGAAAAAAAAAAAAAAGCATTTAAGAGATTTAGATTTAGGTTCAATGACCCTTGACACAAATTTCTAAGGTAACAAGATGCTGGAGGTTTACTTCCAAGCTTGAAGACTTCATCCAACTATAAGATTTGGTAAACACTATTAATAACATAAGAAATCCATTTCTTGCCTTAAAGAAGAAAATCCAGTAAATTAAATACTATTGTCACCTCTAAATTAGCCACATATCAGAGAAGGACTAGAGCACAGAGCATGTAACAGTGGGAAACGCACACGTGCTAGGGCTTTGGGGTCTGCACTATGAGTAAATGGACAGCAGGTACAGTGTCGTCCCTTTTTGTATCACGGAAGCAAAGTTTAGTTTATAATCTCAGAGCAATTATCAGTTGACAAAATGAAGCAGCAGAAAAGCACATTTGGTGGCAGCACACGGGCTGTGGTTAAAAACAGGTCACGTATCATCCACAAGGCAGAATTCACAATCATTGAGGGAAACTGAAGAGAGCCACCCTCTAAGGCAAGTGCCTCTTTGGGGAATGGAAGAGACTCAGGAGACACATGTTTACAACCCGGTACACTCAGAAATTACAGTCACCAAGTCATCAACCGAAAACAAGACCAGCGGCCCGTTAAACACTAATCCGTGACTGAATACCTCTGCATGACCCCCCACAATTCAGAGGAAAGGACCCCCACAATTCAGAGGAAAGGATACAATCATTTCCCCTAGCAGAGAAAAAACTTGTTAATGATGCTAGGGTAACAGGGTAATTATTTAAGAAAAATTAAAATTAAACTGTAATTCACAGTCTACATCAAAATTAATTCCACCCAGATTAAAGAGTTAAATGCAAATACAAAACCATGAAAGTCCTTAAAGAAAACATGGGTGGTTATTAGAATCTTTCTAGACAGGACAACAAAACCAAAAACTGTCAAGACTAACAGATGACAAAAGGAAAAGTTGCATTTCTGTACAGCAAAACACTGCTAAGAAAGTAAATTAACAGCAAATTGAAGACAAAAACCTTTTCCACCTAAATGACAAAAGATGAATACGCCTCCTCACATAAAAAGCTCTCACAAAGTGTTAAGACTTCACCACCACCAAACCTGTTCTTCCCGCATTTCCCCATCTCAGCCGCACTACCAGCTGCTCAGGCCAAAACCTTGGAGTTGCCTTTAGCTCCTCCCTCTCACGCTTCACATCCCATCCATCAGCAAGACCTACTGGTTCTGGGTTCAAAGTATATCCAGAACCCCGTCACTCCCCCCAGCTTCTCTCATCCAGCATCCTGCAAGGGGCTCCTGACGTCCTCCAGGGTCCACACTGTCCCCCAGCCTGGTCTCCACTCACCACCACTGTTCTTTTAAAACACTGGGTCGGGTCACATCACTTCTCTACTCAGAACTCTCCAATGGCTCCCCATCTGGCTCAGAACGAAATCCGGGTTCCTTACTCTGGCTCTAAGGCCCCGCACGGTCTGTATCCCCACATCCACCCCATCCTTGCTACCTCTCAAGCTCACCTCCTAACTCCCCCTCATTCACCGAACTACCGTCACAGGTCAAACACATTCCTGCCTCAGGGCCTTTGCACTCTTTGTTCCCTCCGCCTATGGTGCTTTCCCCCAATACCAGCAGAGCCTGCGCCTTAATCGTCCTCAGGTCTCCACTTAAACACACTGGTGCAGTGAGGCCTCCCCTCACCACCTCATCATTCTCCCTCTCCCTTTCATGCCTACTTTTCTTTACAGTCCTTATCCCCCACTTGTCATATTCCACATTTCTTTATTTTCTGCCTTATTATGTTAGACTGTAAGCTCCCCAATCACGGAGATTTTGTCTGTGCTGTTCACCTAGAACAGTGTCTGGCCCTAGCATAGAAAAGACACTCAATTAAGATTTGTTTAATAAGTGAAGGAATGGATAAAAAACATACATTCCAAAAGAAAATGGGCAAAGAACATTCACAGGTAATTCCTAAAACAAGAACTTTTAAATAGCCAATAAATACGAAAATATGTTCAACTAATCTAGTAATAAAAAATAAATTAAAAAAGAATATGGTACTGATGTGGTCAAAACCTTGTTTACGACTTGTTTTACAATTTCCATGAGACTCCATGCCCCTACTTACTCAATCACCTCTGGCTAGGAGCAAAGGGATTTACCTCAGGAGGTGATCAATGACTTGAATCTCTTGCCTATGTGTTCCTTGAGGTATACCGTACCTTGGAATGCAAGGATGCATCCCATTCCTCTGCCCCCATGCCCTAATCTTCTAGAGTAACCAGATCACCTAATACTTTTTCCTTTGACATTTCTATAGAATAGTAAAATAGCTAAAATTGTGTATAATGGCCCCGCACAGACACTTGCACTACAGCTCCTTACTGCCCACGGGTCCTTTCCCCAGGCTGAACACAAAATAAAGGTACACAAACGAACGAGTGGCTTGTGTCTAAATATTCTTTTTCGACTCGTGACTCAGTGGCCCCACACCAATACCACCTGTTGTCTATCAAACTGACAAACTTAAAAAAACACAACCCAGTGTTAGTAAGAGTTCAGGGACAGGAGTGCTTATATACACACCTAGAGAGTGTAAACTTTTCTGAAGAGTAATTTGGAAATATGTATTAAAAGCATTCAAAGTTGCATATCCTTGATCCGGCAAGTTTACTTCTAGCAATTTATGCTAAGCAAATAATCTGGCATAAAAAATTGATGAACAGGGGCCGGCCCGGTGGCGCAAGCAGTTAAGTGTGTGTGCTCCACTGCGGCGGCCCGGGGTTAGCTGGTTTGGATCCTGGGCGCGCACCGACGCACTGCTTGGCAAGCCATGCTGCGGCGGCGTCCTATATAAAGTGGAGGAAGATGGGCATGGATGTTAGCCCAGGGCCAGTCTTCCTCAGCAAAAAAAAAGAGGAGGATTGGCAGATGTTAGAACAGGGCTGATCTCCTCACACACACACACAAAAAATTGATGAACAGTAACATTAATCACAGAATTGTTTATGATAACTTTGGGAACTAAGGAACATAGTCTGATGGCAAACTCCAGAGGGTTCCCACAACTAATGAAGACAAAATTAACTGAACAGGGATCCAGGGTTAGAAACATCAAATAGGTCCAGGGAGACAAGGGGAAGCACACACACAGAAGCCAAGAGTAAGTGAATGAGGCTGGAAGGGTGGAGGCAGGGAGGTGGGCAAGCCATTGAAGGGTACCACCACTGGGGTTCTCTGCTCTTACAAACCGTCTAGGACATAACTCTTACAGAAATCAGTCCAGCTTACAGGTGAGGGGAGAAACAGACAGGTATGGGTCACTCCCAGTCCTAGGACTACATGACAGGCTGGATTCTGATTACGTTAAAGAAATAATCAAAGTTCCAAAGTGTTATCAAGCAATGAATTTAAAAAGAAAAGGTGCTGACGTCTAAACAACTGAATCTCTGACTCAGCCTCCTTGATGAGGGCAGACAGGCTGACCTACAAAGCGTTTCCTAGGAAGGCCGAGAGCTTTCATGTTACAAGTGACACTCAATCTCGTTGACTTTTTCATCCTCCTTTATCTCGAGCACTCGCTATTACCCAGAGAGCCCACTCCCACGTACACCTTGCCAGGGCACCTCAACACTCGCCAGTGTCAGAAACTGACCAAGTTTGCTTCTGAATTATGATGATGAAGCCTCGAATTCCCTTCTCCTTACTGTCCCTCATCCACGGCCAACGGAACCCCAAGCTGAAGGCTCAGTGCTGCCTGGGCTCCAGGCCTTATCCCGAGGAAGGGGGGCTGTTTAGACGCTTCAGCCAGCTCCCTGGGACTCAGCAGTAAGTCACAGTTGCTGCGGGACTGGCCCGGCCTAGTTGGCCCCACTCTCCTATCTGAGCTCTTCCTTATTCCTGAGACCAAGGCCTCTCACGACGCAAATCCTGGGTACCTGACTGGCTCTCTTTCTTGGCAAACTGACCATCTGCCTGATCCTCAAACATTTCAGCTTGCTCTTGCCAGGGTCCCATAGGAAGTGGAGACCAGCCTGGGCTAAGGACTCTCCCACCTGCTTACACTGATCAAATGGGCGTGACCTCCTGCATCTCCAATCACAGCGTGCCCGTGGAGCGTCCTCTGTCATGCTTCACTCACTAGGCAGAACCCCACGTGCTCCAGTGGGTCCTCCCTCACGCTGAGTGTATGCGAGCCATTTGCTGCTTACTCTGAGTGTCGTCTGCATTGGGTTGAATAGTGTCCCTCCCAAATTCATGTCTACCCAGAACCTGTGGACGCATCCTTATTTGAAAATCAGGCCTTTTGCAGATGTAATCAAGTTAAGATGAGATCATACTGGGTTAGGATGGGCCCTAAATTCAATACGACTAGTGTTCTCACAAGAGAGAAATTTAGACACGGGGACACACACAGGGGAGAAGGCCACGTGAAGACAGAGGCAGAGACTGGAGCGACACAGCTACAATCCAAGGATTGCCAGCAAACACCAGAAGCCAGGAAGAGGGAAAGAAGGACCCTCCCCTAGAGCCTTCAGAGAGAGCAGGGCCCTGCTCTAGGGATCCAGATTTGGGACTTCTAGCCTCCAGAACTGCGAGGGAATAAATATATGCTGTTTTAAGCCGCCACCTTGTAGTATTTTGAGATAGTAACCGTAGGAAACTAATACACCCTCTATAAAGGTTTAACTTCCTCACATGACCTCTCTCCTGTCAGCACCTGCCCACCCCCAGGATAAGTCTGGTTCCAGGTTCTAGCCCTTTCTGGTCTGCTCCAACACAGAGATAACAAGCCCATAACCAGACCTATGATAACAGGAGAAATGTTATGCCTTTAAATCCAGAAACTACCATCTAAAACAAAAGTACTCTTAACTAAAAGTAGCAGAATTCTATAGAAACCAGATGTAAAAATAAATATTCAGACCAAAGCACTGCATAAGAAGCCTCCACCAGACTGACTGCAAGTTCCTCTTTGCCTCTTTTTATCACCCTTTATCCTCCCACCTTGAGTTCATAAAGCATCTTTTAATAGATCCCCGTGCCGTGCTGTAAGCTAGCCCCACGCAGGCAACCCCGTCCAGACAGAGGCAGAGAGAACAAGTGAATGAGCAGTGTGGTGCCTGACACACGGGAGACAGCAATGCACTAGAGTCGCACATTATGTCTGAATCCCAGTTCCGCCTCTCATTAGCGCCTTGGACTTCTACAAGTTACTAGTCTCTCTGACCTGTCTCCTAAGAGAGTAGGCTCTGGAGACAAATTGCCCAGATTCAACTCCACCATCTACCACTTACTAGCTGTGTAGATGAGCTATTTAACCTTGCTGTGCCTCAGTTTCCTCATTTGTAAAAAGAAGAAGAATAGTACCTACTCCATAAATTGTTGCTGGATTCAATGATCTAACACATATAAAGCACCTAGCACAGGGCCAGGCACACAGTAAGAACTCAATGTACGTTAGTTTCTACTACTACTGCTGCCTCCAGTCCCACCACCGTTACTGCTACTACTATAGTTACTATCTGTAAAACAAGTAATGCCACTTACAGGTTTATATAAGGAATAGAAGAGAATGTATGTGAAAGCACTCAGCACAAAGCCTTGCACGTAAGAGACCATCTGAAATAAATAGGAGAGGGAGACAGGGATACTCAAGAAGGTAGTAGACCAAGATGGGCATGCTGGCCAATAGCCATGCATGCCAGAGTGCTAAATACTCAGCATTACACGAAATGCTGAGTCATTCTGAGGAACGCCACGTGCCCTCCCAGGCGGCTCTGCCCCCTTGCAGCTGCCTCAGGGTCTCAGGATTGCCTGGTAAGGAACACATCACCTAGTCAGGTCCTGCTCACATCACCCACCAGCTCTCCCTGTCTGGACAGAGGAGCTCTGCAGAGTACCATCCACGAACAAGTCATGAGACCTGTGACCCGTCACCACAACCTGACACTCTCAGCCTCATTCTCTGCACTGAAACACTGGCAGAAACAAAGTCCAGAGCTGAGTTCTGCTGCCGGGCCTGCTCCAACCTGTTATTTGTACGCGTAGTTTAAAACACCTGTACCTATATTTTATCCTGTGCAGTAGGCAGGGATTATTAACCACATTACACAGATGAGGAAACTCTGTCTCAGCCAGAGAAATCAAGTCCAATATTATATGGCACTGGTTCTCAGCCAGGGGTGAATTTGTCCCCAGGGGACATCTGGCAGTGTCTGGAGATGATTTTGATTGTCATGACTCAGGGGCTACTACTGGCATCTAGTGGGTAAAAGCCAGAGATGCTGCTAAACACCCTACAATGCACAGAACAGCCCCCACAACAAAGAATCATCTAGTCCAAAATGTCAGTAGTGCCAAAGTTGAGACACATTGCTGTAGAGCAAAAAAGGGGTAGATTTAGGACCAGGAGAGAGACACAGAACTTTTTCTGTTGTGTTGTGCTGGAAGGTCTAAGCAAGCCTAGAAGGAGACAGGCAGAAAGGCTCCTTATGTCAGTATTGAAGGTACACATCTAAGGATCAGACAGAAAAGACCTTGAGAGGAACAAATCTGCTGGGGAAGAGGCCTTGTGTCAACCAGGGCTGTGCCCCTTAACCCTGGTTTCTGCTCAGTGTTTGGGGCATTCTTGTTTATTTAAGGGATGATTACCTTGCAAAAAAGAGCAAAAAACAGGTAATAGAGGGCGAAACCAAGTGGGAGGGGAAAGATTTGTGGGCTAATAAGCAAGATAATCCTGGGAATTCTAATGGGCTTGAAATTGTTTTTCACGTGGTGCTAAGAAAGGCAGGTGATCTCTCAACACATAATCATAGTGCTAGAGTCAAGTCTATAATTGTAAAATATAATCTCATAAAGAGATAATTTGCTCATTTTCTTTAAAATTATAAATTATACTGGTTAGCAATTTTACTTTCAAGATACTCAACTTTCATTTACTAAATTATTTATACTTCCCTAATATTTATGTACCCAGAACTGCAGTATAGTCATGCTTGTCGTTGAATGCAGTGATGGCTAATGAATATAGGTGACACTAATAAGATTAATAATCTATTAGTAATCATGCTGGAAATTGCAGTTGAGCATTTTGGTTAAAATTGCATTTGATTAACAAATGCAAAAGATAACAAAGTCTGCCTCTTAAATAAGAGTTACATACAGTGTGTCAAATATTGCTGGGTTTTTCAATCAAACCAAGAACTGAGGGAAGTGTTATTCCCAAATGAGGAATTTTAGAACATTCCAGGCAAAGATACATACTGCATGCAAGTGATCGGACACCTTAATTACATTCAACCAGCAGACAGTATTACACTGCAACTCGGAACAATAGTTCTGAGCCAAGATTACAATAAATTTCAAAATCTATATTGTGTGATACTAAATTCTACAATAATGCATAAAAATCCTAATTTGAATCAGAGAGCCAAAGCCACAACTGCTACCCTGCAAAGTGTAGGGTAGGCTTCTCGAGAAGGGACAGGAGGAAATACAGGCTGTCTTGGCTTCCCCAGGAGGCTCCAGGAGGCCAGCTTCCAGCCCACCGCCCCATGCATCTCCCGTTCCCAAGGAGAAGCCCACGAACACAGTTCCCCCAGCTGCGGCAACTGCTACTGCTAACAGCGCTTCTCCTCGACCCTGCAGAATCACAGCTCCTCAGCCTTCAGGGAGCTGGAACTACTACAATTCCATCTCTTCCCAAAACTACTCCTTGTAGTTTTGGCACTGATTTTAAAGGTTTTCCCAGGGTGGGATACAGGAAAAACTATTAAGTCAAATAAATTAAAAAAACTGAAGACTGAACTCGGTGCCCTTAGACTTGGTGTTCTATAGGGTATGCAATGAGCCAACCGGACAATCACTTTCACCTCTGTGCGCTGCTTTCCAGAAATGAGAGTTGATTTAGGTAGTCTCCCTACCTAAGGGGCATGAGAGACCCAACGGCCCAGCCACATAAAACTTCCGACCATTTCTCCCCACGCTTCTCCCATCTTATGCCCTGGCTCACATTGTCTACTCTGCCAGGCATGCTCTCTCCCATATCCCTTTCTGAAGCACTTCTCCCCTTCTTTGACAGCCCTGCTCAAACCTCACTGCCTCCAAGCTGTTCTCCCAAATCCCTCGCCCGCTCCTTCATGTACACCTCTGTCATAACACGGCATCCCTGACCTCTGCCCTTTTTAGATAGCCTTGCATCTGTCTCCAACAAGAACTCAGGCCCTGGTGGACAACGGTCATGTTTCATAGATCCTCGTTCACGCCTTTCAGTATCTCATACAAAGAAGACCTTCAGGAAATGTTTGTTAGAACTAAATTCAAGCCGAACTCAGAGCAGGTGCTCTGCTGGTCTGACCCTGGTTTGCTACAGATGCAATATGGTGCTCTTTCTTCCTCCTTCCGTGTCTTCTTTTGAATGTTAACTCTTTAAAAAGAATTTTACTATTTTCCTTGCTATATCTGATTTTGGGGTTTTTTAAATTGAATATAATTCATATAACATAAAGTTCATCCCTTTATTTATTTATTTTTTTGGTGACGAAGATTGGCCCTGAGCTAACATCTGTACCAACCCTCCTCCGTTCTTTGTATGTGGGATGCCGCCACAGTATAGCTTGATGAGCAGTGTGTGGGTCCGCACCCAGGATATGAGCCCACAAACCCTGGGCTGTCAAAGTGGAGCGCACAAACCCAACCACTATGCCACTGGGCCAGACCCAAGGTCACCCTTTTAAAGTATACAATTTAGTAGTTCTTAGTGTATTTATTAGTGATTCAGTGCAATATCACCACTATCTAATTCCAGAACGTTTTCATCACCCCAAGAAGAAACCCCATACCCACTAGCAGTCGCTCCCCTCCTACTCCACCACCCTCCCCACCCCCACAACCACAAATCTACTTTCTGTCTCTGATACACATGATTTTAACAAAGCTTACAGTACTCCTAACTGTGGTTTTATTATACATCAAAGCCAAATTCTATCCTCCAGAAGAAACAGTTTCTCTTATTTTACAATAACTCAATAAGAAAATGTAATTTAATGCAGCAAGTTCCTAAGATATCATTTCACGATGCAAAAAAAACTCTTACCAGGAAAATCATCTCACATGTTTACTTGCTCATCTGTTTTTGTTTTGTTAAGCTTTTACTGAAGAAGTATAATATACATATAGAAAAGTACACATATCATAAGGGTACATCTTGACAAGTTTTCAAAAACTGAACACACCTAATCAGCACCCAGATCAAGACACAGAAGTCCCCCAGACCCCTCTTCTAGTCACCCCTGCTTTAGAGCAACCACTGTCTTGACTTCCAAAACCATATGTTACTTTTGCCTGTTTCTGTACTTTTACAAATAGAAGCACAGAGTGTACAGTATAGAAAACATTTACATTGAAACGCTAGGCCTTGTAATACTCACCATAATCTTGGAAAAACCATGACATTATCATCATCAAATGGTAGAAAGACACACGTAAGTACATATAAGAGTATGCCCATGCTCCAAACATCTGCCTGAGAGCGAGAAAAAAATAATTCAAAAAAATTTAGAACATATTTCAGAATGGCAATACATGTAACAGAATCACAGAATCTTCACAGAGCTGGAAAAGAGCTCAGAGATCATCCAGTTCAACCTGCTCATTCTACAGACAGGGAACCCAAAGCCCAGAAAGGAAGGCTGGCCCAAAGTCACCCAGTCAATGGCAGGCCACCCAGGTCACCTCCTGACTCGAGTTCCTGCACTCTCCTCTAACGCTGGACTCTAAAGCTTAATAGACAATAATTTCCAGGTGGCTGGGCTGGACTGGGCATGGTAAGGAAGGAGATGAGGCCAGGTCTCTGATTCTGAGAGACGACTGTCCAGTGCTACTGAGGGTTTATTACATATGAGGATTATGTAAACATGCATGAGGATAGCAAAACAAGTCCTAAAATTTACTGCTAATAATCTGCAAATGTGACTAAGCTGAACTGTAAAGTCCTCTCTATGCAGAGAAACCTTAATAAAGTTCAACAATTGACTTTTCAAATATAGAGGCTAGAAATTAGCCTGCCAGTACAAACAGCCCTACAAATCTCAAAATCTCCACAAGGAGCTTAACCTTTATATAAGATAACCAGGTGTCCCATGAGTCCTAAGCACTAACTACCTATTCCAGCAGTGTCTGGCCTTAGTCAATAATGATGCCACCACTGGTTGAAGAGAAGTCACAGCTCCCAGCCGCATTTGAGCCTTAGGAAAATTTTAAGAGGTAGGAAGGGCAGCATCTGTTTTTTCGTTTTTTTTTTTTTAAAAGGGAGGTGGGGTGGGAACAGAGGTAAAAGAACTTGAGCAGCATCACACATCGAGGTAGCACCTACACTAAGTAACCCGAATTGAACTCCTAGTCCCGTCTACCAAATCACATAAAATTACCAGGACTCCTCTAAGATGCCCCAAGTGAACAATTTACTTTCAAGCAAACACCTGAGTTTTCTTTGAAGTTGCAAGAGGTCAGAAATTAACCTCAGAGATGTCAATACTTAATCTGTAATTGAGGCTCGATGGCAGAGCACTCCTAACCAGGGTGTTAAATTCAAAGCAAAGAGGCTCCATGAGAAAGAGCGGGCTAACATGGCCTCGTCAGATGCCATAAGAAGAGGTCAACAGAGAGATTATGTCTGAGGTTAAGCTTTTTGAAAAGATGAAGAAAATAATGGTAACATCCCCATAGAAATCTACCAAAGCCTAGCAGAGAGAAAAAAGCAGAAAAAGTATTCTTCAGTTAACTCATCAAACCACTTTCACTTCACTGTTTTGAAATGGATGAGAATAGCGGCCAACCCCCCGTCGCATAGTGCTTAAGTTCAAGTGCTCTGCTTCAGCGTCCCCGGGTTCGTGGCCCGGATCCCAGGCACGGACCTACACACCACTCATCAGGCCCTGCTGTGGCAGCATCCCATATACAAAAAATAGAAGAAGATTGGCACAAATGTTAGCTCAGGGACAATCTTTCACCACCAAAACAAAAAAAAAAGTTTTCTCTCTGAAATGGATGAGAATAAATTAATCAACTAAAATCACAAACCAAAGCAAATGCAAGTGAATCCATAAGCTACCAATTGCCAAATAAAAAAATAATTGGGGAGAGGTGGGGTTTGAAACCATTTCCTGTGAGAAATCACAGAAAGAATTAGAGATGTTTACCATGGAAAATTCCTTAAAGCATGATCTGTACCATGAGAAACAGAATCACCTAAAGTACTTATTTTAGAATGAAGATTCTTAAAGTCCCACCTTGGAAAACAAAACCAAAATCTAAGCGTACAGCCCTGAGCTCTATATCCTTGCATCATAAGTGGGCTATGTATTATATTTATTGCAAGTTATTCATTTCACTTATTACTTTACATATCTTACTCTCTGAACAGACTGAACTCTTCAATTAAGAAGATTATTTCTTTCCTCATCTTTATATCCCCAAAGCACAATGCCTGACTCAGTACAGGTCACCAATAAGTGTATATTGATCACATACTGAATTAATCAATGAATAATTACCTCTGAGCCCAGATACGATTTGCCTTGTATTAATTCGGGTGCTGCATAAGCAAGACTCCCACAGCAGGTCTGTAGATGGTAATCCTTGTTGTCCTGACAATAAGATAGATATGAAACACTGACTAATTACAGCCTTAAGAGAATTAAAACCTTGATAAACATTCTTTCAGCACAAGCAAAGAGAAGCTAGATGAAGAATTACCCAAATAAGAGACTTCAGCAGCCAACCCAGTGCTCGCTGCCTACATGCATGCACGTGCGTTTCCTCTTCGCTGGATTTCCAATGTGGCTACAACCCGGCACGAGCAAATTCTCTTCCCCTTAGCTCAGTCAGGTCAGGCTCATACTTCCCCAGACTTCCACTCCCATAATAATCAGCTTAGCACACATCCAAGCACGCATGTCTTCCCACCTCCAAGCACTCAAGGAAAAAGGATTATGTCTTTACTGCACCCTATCTCCAACACTGAATCTTTAGACACAGAAGAGCTTCTTTCCCCTTAGAGGGAAGAGAGCAACATGCTACACAGAACAGTGCCTTGGGAGTCTGTTTTCTAGACTCAGTTATCACAGGAATCACAACGTGAGCTTCCAGTTCTGTTAAAATGAGAAACCTGCTCCACCTCCTCTGCTCTCCCACAGAAATATTGAGACATAATGAAAATGATGCTATTGCCCAACATGTGTACTAAGTTCCACAACTGGCAAATGACCTGCCAGATTGTGAGATTTCATTTACAACTGCAACAACATGCCCAGAAGTGAGCTCCTCAGCAGAAAACTGAGGCAATCCCCTGCTAGCCAACTCCAGCTTCCTTAGAGGGTGTCTGTGTGGGTCGAATCTGCGGCAGCCAGAAAGAAAGGCTGATGGAGTCTGTCAGACAGATTCTCCACTGCCTCCCGTAGAGAAGATGACTTAAACCACTTTATCTGCTCAGAGTATGTTTTATCTTTATACGCCTGCCAATCAAAAAAAACGCCTTCTAGCATTTAGTTCCCAGACACAAGCTCCACTGACCATCTCTGAAGAGCCAAGGGGAGAGGAAAATCAGAAAGAATAAGACATTCAGCCAAAGGGGCAAAATCTGCTTCCCTTAGCACCTAGCTAATTCTGATTGGGGCAGGAAATAATCATGGGACTACACAGGACTAAGGCAGGTTTGCAGTTTCAACATTCTCAATCAGTGTAGACAGCTCATTTTAGAGACTGTGGGAACCATCATTAGAGAACTCAGGAGGAAGCCTCCAACAGGCAGCCACACAGGAGCTCTGCCACAGATAGCCGAGCTGGAGAGTTCAAAGTCACCTCAAAGAGAAGGTGTGCTGGAGAACACCAGTACTTAACTGTGGAGCACAAATTAGGGACATACATAACAGTATAAATTGAAAAATGCATATGGACTTTTTCCTTCTTCTTTCGTAAGGAAAGCGGACTGTCTTTCAAAATCTAATTGTTAGTTATATACCATCTGGATAACAAGGAGTAGATTTGCACTAAATTCGCAAAACTCACATCTAAATGAACAAAGGCGTCATCTAGTGGCAACATACTCAAACTGCAAACACACGGTCAATTCAGCATTCCTGCTGTGATGGTCTCACGTCACCTCAGCACCGCACATTCCCTCACAGCATACCCAGGGATCTTCAGCAGGACCAACCCTGGACCTAGAGCAGTGGTGCTCAATCTTGGCCACATAGTAGAATCAACTAGAGAACTTATAAAAGGGATGAAATTTAACATTCTTCTCAATGGATGCAACCAGGCTCAATAAAGACTATGTGGAAGTCAGTGCAAGATAACGCACTAAGAGGTGCATTTACAAAGGAAACAAGTGCACTTTTATTTCTGCACTTACCTTGAGTTTCGCACAGAGACCAAAGTCAATCAGCTTTAATTTATGATATTCATCAAACAACAAATTTTCCTGGGGGGAAAAAAAGATAAATTCATAGCTGTATACTGACTTCCTTATATCACATGCCACCTCTAGCCATTTCTAAAAACGACGTAAGGTTGTTTATATTAAATAGCCTGGGCACAACAGAGCGAAAATCATTTAAAAAGAATGAAATGATAAGAAGTGTAAAAGGGGAGAGGGGAGGAATGTTGATAACTATCCCGCTTCCCTTCAAGACATGTCAGCATAAACCATTTTCTCAGTGGTGCTCTGAAGCTCAACTAAAAGCAAACACAGTGTGTGCCAAAGGCAAGTTTAAACCAAAAGAGTGAACTCACATCAAAGGGTTGCGTATACACAGAGGGAAAAGGACAGTAACACTGCCCTATCTTGTCAGACCAATTCTAGGTGCCTGACCCTGGTACCAGTAACACTAAAATCCACGTTCACCATCATCCACCTTAGTCAGAGCCTGCAGACGTAAGAGAATTCACATTTTATTCTGTCCTTGAAAAGTAGAGTCTGTCAATCCATCGGACTGTTTCCTTCTGAAGTGCAATGGAATTAAAATTAGAGGAAAATGAGGTTAGGAAAAGAGTATTGGACGGCAACACTCAATGGCAATATTCTTGAAGAAAACACTCAAAACTCTTCTTTCCTAGAGATCAAATCCTGAGGTTTATAGGCCACAGCTGATTACAAGGACACTTATAATGTCACACATAATTGGTATATAAATAGAATGCCAATAAGTCCATTCAGAAAAGCCCACCAGAAGTCAAAAGTAAAGGAGGAAAAAAAAGTGATTCATGATGAGTGGAACAAAGAAAAAGAAGCAAAGCCAAGACAGATTCTAAGCAGAAAGAACATTTGGAAACCTAGCGAAAACAGGTAAATGAGGTTGAACTCTGGGGTGAGCATCTAACTGTGACGCAGTCACTTGCTGGTTTGAGGTCCCTGTGAGCGTGGCCCTGGCTGTGCACGTAAGCAACCGCAGCCACTATCTGCAGGAAGACGACTCGGGTCTCCTCCTCTGACAGGCGACCCTGGGAGATGATGTAGTCAAACAGCTCTCCTCCAGGGCAGTACTTCAACAGCAACACAGCCACACAGATAGTGTCACTACTTACAGAACTCACTTCCGAGGAGTGTAAAACAAAATATTATACTTAACTGAGCAATATTATTAATTCCACTTAACAGGCAAGGGAACTGAGTGAGGCACATTCAGAAATACACTCTCAGGATCCAACAAGGCAACAGTGATTCCGGGAAAGAGAACAACAGCTCTTGGTCTCAAGCAGTTTTATTACCAGTAGGTAGAAGTACAACCAACTACCACCGTGATTTTTAAGCTCATTCAGGGTTTTGTATTTTATAGCAAAGCACTAAAACCCCTTCTCATCCTAATG